GATTGAGTAAACAAAACCTCGAATTCAGAAATATCTTCTCCTTATCAGGCATCATAGGTGGAACACATAATTCCAAACGGTGAGTAAGGACAGATGATTCAGGATCAAATAGTTCGTGAGAAGAGTAATTGAAAATAATACCCTTCACATTAGTTTCAACTGTGCAACCATATCCCTTGGGTGTTAAAAAAAAAAAAATTACGCTTGGTCTGTAGCTTGGTAGTTAACTTATTACACCCTCGCTGAACAAATCCTAAATACCTGTAAAACCTCAACCAATAGAAAAAAAGAAAGTATGTTCATACATTCGCACGATAATATATTATATTTCCCATTCAACACGGCGATTTTGGTGGAAAGATCTTACAGAAAATCTTTAATATATTTTCTATATTCCAGCTAGATTGTAATTTTATTCTGTTTATTTTGAATTGAATAAAGGAAAGACAAATCTGGTGCCGAATACATTTTCGTAAAAACACAGCATTAGTCCTCAACGTTCTTAAATTTGCTCTAATTTGTAATATTTTATTTAATTGATTAATTAATTCAGAGTTGTACCTCATTTAAAACTATTTAAAAACATTCTCAGCAGTACAGAACCATCTGATTATTGCTTTAAATACATTTAGCTGAATATTAATTGGCATAATTAAAAACAACAGTATATATATATATATATATATATATATATATATATATATATATATATATATATATATATATATCTGTGTGTGTGTGTGTGTGTGTATTAATGGTGTATCAGAAATACTTCAACAGGCATTAGGTGCGAGTTTCTCACCAAATCAAGGACAAAATTCCATATGAAAAAAATGTCCAAAAGGCCATCTTTGTACCTCAACACAGCAACTCATATTAAATATTCAAAATGTCCTCCGCATGTTTTGTGATGTCAAATAATACTCGTTGTCAGTTTCTTAATGCTCGTTGTAGTAGAGACTTTGTATTCACAGATACAACTATAGTAACGCCGTTGAACAATACTCGTGTCAGACGCCTTCGAATATCACTCGCACTAATAGTACTTGCTCGATAATACTCGCTCGAATAGTACCCACCGAATAGTAATAGTAGTGATCAGTATAGAGAAATAGTATAGAGAAGAGTATAGAGTATAGCGATCCGTATAGTAATAGAGGATAGAATAGAAATGGTGATCAGTTAGACGCCACGCTAATTCCCATATATACATGTCATTTGCCATCACATGATCTACTTATACAAAATGGGATCGCCCATGTTTGCTCACTGGCGATCTATGCTCAAAGCCAGTCAGCAGCGACACTTTATTCCTATATAACAGCATTCACCCGCCAGATCATTGTCTGGTAGATCCTTTCAAATACTCCAACTATGTGATGCATGGTTGCACACGCCCCATGACACGTTGATGAAACGTCTCTGTATTAGTAATGTCTGCTGCATGATGCAGTTGTTTCTGGTGGCCACATAGATAAAAAAACCAAAGGATTGAGGATGGGGAGAAAGTACTGGTCATGGAACCTGTTCTTCCTTACCTATCCATATTTCATGGTAGATGTCAGCCACTGTATCACGAACAATGTGACTAAAATTTGCGTGATCTTGATGGATCATATGTATCTTCGTCTTAACAGGAGGTACATTCTCTAGCAGGTCTGGAAGTGTGTTCGAAATAAAGTTCCAGTAGACAGCTCCTGTATGACGTTCTAAGAGAACATATGAACCTAGCAGACAGTCATCTAAAATACCAGCTCACACATTAATCTTAAACTGATGCTTGTGTCTAACTTGTATTGTACCATGTAGATTCCGATACGCCCACAAATGTTGGTTGTGTAAATTTGTTATTCCATCTCTTTTAAATGTTGCCACATCTGTAAACAAAACTGAAGAGACAACGGATCGGCAGTTTTTGCAATAAACCATCAGAAAACGTTTTTTCGTGGTGAGTGATTAAAGGGCAAAAGACCCTCCAGACGTTGCAAATGATACGGATACAGGAGCAGCTCTTGATGTACTCTCCATGCGTTACTATGTGGTGCGTGGCATGCTAGGGCCACTTGACGCGTGCTGATGACACGGATCGTCTCCGACAGCCTGTAAAATGTGTTTTTTCGTGTTCAGGCGTACAAGCAGATCTCGTCTTCTTCGATCTATAGTTTTTGGTGCGACAGTAACGTGGCGATAAACAGCAGCAAAGGCTGGATGATTCGGCTGCCTTCGGCCTAAAAACACAATCAGAAACTGCCATGCAGCTTCGTGTGGTTTACCATTCGAACCTCCGTATATACAAACCTCATCAGCCTGCTCACGATATAAAAATTTTCGCCATTGTTAAACGGAACACTTATCAGTTAACTCACTGCTACACTCGTTAAGACAAACTAGCCACAAATGTACACGAATAACAAATGTAACCTAGTCTACATAGCAACAGAGCGCCATGTTACGGTTTTTTTGGGTATACATACCTATAACTAGTGAGCGAGTCAGAATG